GAGGAAAAAGTTCAAGAATGGTGTCGTGATCTTAAACAATTAAGTGATATAGCATCAAGAGAACCTCAAATAGCATACAGTGCATACATGTATGGGCTTAGTAAAAGATGGAACTATGTGTGCAGAACTACCCCAGGAGTTGCAGATAGGCTCACTCCTCTGGAACAAGTAACACGCGATGAGTTTATCCCAGCTATCATCAACAGGCTGTTTAGCTGCACTGATGAACTAAGGAACATAATGGCTCTACCACCAAGATATGGAGGATTGGGTATACCAGTTATGATGGACATGGCAGACCGAGAGTACAAATTCTCATGTAGAGCCACAAAACCCCTTAAAGAAGCTATTCTCAAGCAGGTAGACAACTACACAGAGGACTGGAGAGTAAGCAAAGGAGTGAAAACTGAGATAACAACTGAACGAAATCTCTTCTATCGACAAAAACAAGCGGAAATACGCCAGGAGCTCAAGTCAACACCACTGGCAAAGTTGATGTTCCAACTAGCTGCTGAGAAAGGGGCAAGTGCTTGGTTAACAGCACTACCTTTGAAAGAGTATGGATATCTGATGAACAAACAACAGTTCTCAGACGCAATAGCACTCAGATATAACCTAAACTTAAAGGACAGCCCTAAGACATGTACGTGTGGCCAAAAGTACTCAGCAAACCATGCGCTCATCTGCAAACTCGGTGGATATGTGTCACTGCGGCACAACTCGCTGAGAGACACCTTTGCTGAACTAATGAGAACTGTGAAATGCAAGGATGTGCAGACTGAGCCAGTTCTTCTTCCAGTTGATGGTCTGAAGTTGCCTAAGGGAACAGTACTTGGAGACCAAGCTAGGCTGGACATTTCTGCAAGATCGATTTGGAATGCTTCAGAGAGGGCATATTTTGATGTAAGGGTATTTCATGCCCCAGCCCCCTCCAATGCAAGCAAATCGATCCCAGCAATGTACCAGTCCCATGAAAATGAGAAAAAGCGATGTTACAACGCAAGGGTTCTTGAAGTGGAGAAAGGAAGCTTCACACCTTTAGTGTTCTCGACTTCTGGTGGAATGGGTAGTGAGGCTGAAAGACTGGTAAAAAAGCTGGCCAGTAAGATGGAGTACCACACTGGCCAGAGGTACTCGGATGCTGTAGGTTACATCAGAAAGCGCCTTCGCTTTGAAATCCTAAGAACAACAGTGATTTCTCTTCGTGGAGACAGAGGTGCGAGAAAAAACATTGTTAATATAAACAGTCTAGATCTTAACTTGGAGCCACAAGGCCAAGGGTAATTTTTTGAGTGTTTAGGGAATTTTTTATACTCTTAAAGGTTTGTTTTTATATAGGGTCATTGCTATATTATGTGTATATTGTTTGAATAATTTTATAAAAAAATTATAAAATGTTTTCCCCAGCAAGTCATTCCTGACTACTGTTTGGGCAGATTTTAAAATGGGTTATTAACTGGTTTGCCCTCAGCTCAACCGACTTTTTACTTTACTTTTACTTTATCAGATGTGATGCTGCTGCACATTGGCTAAATGGATTGGCCTGGGGACATTTGGTTCAGTAATTTTCATGCTTAAACACTCCTTTTTTGACAAAACACATATATGCTGAAATAAATACACACTTATTTTAGGCTTGGTGGTGTATGGGCAGGATTTGAGTTTCCAAATCGTCGTTTGAATGTGGGACAATTTTGAAAACTTAACTTAAGTACTAGCAAAACTGCGCGTTTTGCTCTAGATACACACACTTTTTTAGAGATTTTACCGGTGTATCCTCTTAAATCGCCTTGTTCAATTTTAAGGAGGGGCACCAAAAGGGGAGGGGGCGCCAATAGGGGGGCGCTTTTTTCGGCTGGGGCGCCAACAGGCAACGTTACGCCACTGCAAGCGACCCTGCTAAAAGATCTAGAATCTTGTAAGGGTCCCCTTCAGTCAGTACAGAAGGGTAAATATGAATATTTCGAATATATATGGCTGGTGATATCGAAATGGAAATGGGGGAGGGGTGGACAATGAAAGGAGACAGTTGCCCTAGGGATAAGGGATGAAAGGGGTAAAATGAAGGGGGGGGGGTGTCACGTCCGTCTATGTCCGCTTGTCTCATAGAATCCAAAAAGGACAGGACATAGGTGGACATAGGCGGACATAGACGGACATAGGCGGACATAGGCGGACATAGGCGGACATAGGCGGACATAGACGGACATAGGCGGACATAGGCGGACATTAATGGACACCTAAATTGCTAAATATAATGTTCAATTTTTGCTGTTATAGGGGATCATGTTTTTTGTCCGTTCGGTACCCTATATTTTCAAAAATAGAGCGGACAAAAACGGACAAAAATGGACAAAAACGGACAAAAATGGAAATAACATTTAGATGCTTCCTCCTCCTACTCTTCCTCCTCCTCCCCCTGGGTCTTCCTGATCTTCCTCAGTCCTCTTCCTCCTCCCCTCCTCAGTCCTCCTCCTACTCCTCCTCCTCGTCCTCAGTCCTCCTCATCAGTCCTCCTCCTCATCCTTCTTCTCAGTCCTCCATCCTCCTCCTCAGTCCTCCCCCAGTCCCCCTCCTCCTCCTCCTATTCAGTCCTCCTCCTCCTCCTCCTTCTCAGTCCTCCTCAGTCCACCTCCTTCTCAGTCATCGTCAGTCCTCCTCCTCAGTCCTCCTCAGTCCTCCTCCTCCTCCCCTCTTCAGTCCTCCTCATACTCTTCCTCCTCGTCTTCAGTCCTCATCAGTCCTCAACAGTTCTCCTCCTCCCCAGTCCTCCTCCTCCTCCTCCTCCTCAGTTCTCCTCAGTCCTCCTTCTCATTTCTTCTAAGTCCTCCTCCTGAGTCCTCCTCCTGAGTCCTCCTCCTCTTCCTTCTGAGTCCTCCTCCTGAGTCCTCCTCCTCCTCCCTCTCAGTCATCCTCCTCAGTCATCCTCCTCAGCCATCCTCCCCAGCCATCCTCCTCAGCCATCCTCCTCAGTACTCCTCAGTCCTCCTCCTTCTCAGTCATCGTCAGTCCTCCACCTCAGTCCTCCTCAGTCCTCCTCCTCCTGGGTCCTCCTCCTCCTCCTCCTGGGTCCTCCTGGGTCTTCCTGATCCTCCCCAGTCCTCTTCCTCCTCCCCTCCTCAGTCCTCCTCCTACTCTTCCTCCTCGTCCTCAGTCCTCCTCATCAGTCCTCAACAGTTCTCCTCCTCCCTAGTCCTCCTCCCCCTTCTGGGGCCTTTTCCTGGGTCCTCCTCCTGGGTCCTCCTCCTCCTGGGTCCTCCTCCTCCTGGGTCCTCCTTCTCCTCCTCAGTCCTTCTCCTCCTCCTCCTCAGTCCTCTTCCTCCTCTTCCTCCTCCTCCTCCCTCTCAGTCATCCTCCTCAGCCATCCTCTTCAGCCATCCTCCTCAGTCCTCCTCCTTCTCAGTCCTCCTCCTGAGTCCTCCTCCTCCTGAGTCATCCTTCTGGGTCCTCCTCCTCCTCCTCCTCCTGGGTCTTCCTGATCCTTCTCCTCCCTCTCAGTCATCCTCCTCAGTCATCCTCCTCAGCCATCCTCCTCAGCCATCCTTCTCAGCCATCCTCCTCAGTACTCTTCAGTACTCTTCAGTCCTAAAAATGTTTGTCCGCTAATGTCCACCAATGTCCGCTAATGTCCACCAATGTCCATCCAAGTCCGCCAATGTCCGTCCGGGTCCGCCAATGTCCGTCCGAGTCCGCCAATGTCCGTCCGAGTCCGCCAATGTCCGTCCGAGTCCGCCAATGTCCGTCCGTGTCCGCCTATGTCCCAAAAAACACGTCCGTTGTCTCATAGAATCCAAAAAGGACAGGACATAGGCGGACATAGACGGACATGACACCCCCCCAATAAAGGAGGGTGGAGGTGACTTGAGCCCTGGGATGGAAAATAGACTGTACAGAAGCCAGGAGTTCTCTCTTTCTCTTTGTCTTTTAAAGGGGACCCTTACAAGATTCTAGATCTTTAATAGGGTCACTCATTTAACCCTTGCATGTGGTTTCTCATACACTAAGGAGGCTGCATAGACCCGACGGAGTCCTTAGCTGAGCGTCAATGACGCTCACCTCAGGGACTAATGATGCACCAGCAGGAGGAGTTAGGTGACTCCTAAGTCATCCAGGTGTTTGGGTTCAATGAAGCGTTTGGTGCAGATTACATAATAATCCCTCAGGGACTAATGATACACCAACATCCCTGAGATGAGCGTCATTGACAGACATATGTTCGTAGATGCAGTATTTGACCTGTGATGAGTTCAACTGCCGGTCTGCATTTCATTCCGTTGATGAGGGTAGAGCTGAGGTTTTTAAAAAATGGTCTCATGTTTGTTGTGTACAGCAATAATATCATGATCTTATTTAAATTTTATCTGGAGATTTGATCAGCCAATAACCACTACAAAGCAATTGTATCAATTGTACATACAAATTTAGATGAACTGTCTAATATGGTTCTGTGTGCAGATTTTGATATGCCGGGTTTACTTTGTATTTTCACGAAGGAATTCTTCACCAAACTAATAATTTTATGCTGGAATGGAATCCGTTCTGTAAAAGTGTAAAGGTTTCTTTATATTTCAGAAACAGCTTTTATTTCCTAACAGCCACTGCTTCCGTCCCAGCCTTCAGCCTTGATATTTTAATTACATCATATTTGATCGAGATTGTTAGGAAAGTTTATTATCAAGAGTATCAAACCCTGATTTTGTTGCTGGTATTACTCTTCTCATCATATTGATATAAAAATTGTTAATAAATTGTTTATTATAGTAGTAATAACTAATATGGTTCTGTGTGCAGATTTTGATATGCCGGGTTTACTTTGTATTTTCACGAAGGAATTCTTCACCAAACTAATAATTTTATGCTGGAATGGAATCCGTTCTGTAAAGGTTTCTTTCTATTTCAGAAACAGCTTTTATTACCTAACAGCCACAGTAATATGGTGTGTTTCACTGCGTTGTCATACTGGGTTTTGCATTGTTTTTTTTTGAAACCTTCATCAAGTAGATATATAGCATTGTAGGTCAATATTTTGGTTGATTTTCCTTTTCGTATAATGTACTGCATAATGTATCTACTGCTAACTGCAAATAATTCTGTTATCTCGACTTACTTATTTGTAGGAAACATGTTCGAAAGGGAAACGTCGGTTACCAAGATTCAAAATGATGACAAGAAGAGGAACATGTTGAAGTACCTTAATATTTTTTTGCTAACCGAAGTGAAGGATAAGCTGGACTTTCTCCACATGTTAGTAGATGTGTAACGATCACGTTTTGAGAGCTAACAACCATAGCGCAGCTGCCAAGACAATTTTTACTGATACATAAATTATATGATGAGCTGAAACTACACTATCAGCCTTGCAGAATAAGAATAATAGCCTACAATGATTAGAAGATATTTCAACTGTTCATATTTTCAGAAAGACGTTCACACCTACGAACATTGACAAGTTGGTAAAAAGCCTGCAGTGCGATCTAGATTGTAAGTATCCTCTGTTAGCCTCTCCTCCACACTTCTTTTTATTTGTTCATAAATTGGAAGCATTGTCATGGATTCTTTGAACAAGTGGTTGCGCAAAACGGTAGTTTAAAGGGCTTGGGTTGTGGTCTGGGTTAATGTTGTGTAACGGTAAGGGTTAGAGTCGGGGATCGAGCTATCATAGCTCGGAGCTAGGCCAGGTTTAGGTGTAAGACAACGTTTGAGATTTAAAACCAGGGGGCCAACGATCGTGAGGTGAAATGTCGAGGGGTGAAAACCCGTTTAATTCCATGTGATGGATTGTTTAAAAAAGTGGTCGAAAGGACGATTTAAAAGACCGTACTTGATCGTTGAAAGTTAATGATTCTCCTCTAAGACGTGTAGATATATGTAGATACGTTTTAAGTCATTAATATACCAGGAGAGAAAATCCGCATCTTATTGATGAACTATGCTTCCTTTCGACCACTCTTTTATCGACCAATGAAGTCACGTATGGGTAAGGTACTATGTGATCACTGATCAGGTATCTACTCCACTTACTCATTCGGCTGTAATTACAGTGCACATTGATGAGAAAAAAGACAAGACTTCGGCAAATAGGAAGTTGCTAATATCTACAATCTGTGAGCTGATCACCGCCCTCAAAAAGATAAAGGTAAGTAATTATACTTGATGTCACAGATCTTCCGAAATAAGGTCCTGGCAGTGGGATCAATTAGAACATCCGTAATCAGATTGAGCTGTACATGATAAGCAGGCATTTTGCTTTGTACAAGTTTAAACAAGTTTCCCGTTTTTTACTTTACTAGGTTCCAGTTGATAATTACCGACTGCAACATCACCTTAGTTCAGTCGGGTGGAATGTTTGCAGTGTTTATAATTGCCTATGCTTCAAAAACATGCTGTGGCATACAGTATAAACAATTTCCTGAACAGGGAGGTAGGAGTGGTGATGGACAGAGTGGAAGTCTGACAAAGTTAGACGAAGACATCAAGAAAGTTTTTTGGAACTTCTTTACAGCTAAAGACGACAAGGTTTGAATATAGTTCTTCAACTTAACAGTTAATATTCTCACTGATTGAACATAAATTGATCATTCCCCCCTGAGTCCTGATAGGTATTGATTATGAATCGCTTTCACGTGGTGTATTAGATATTACATTAGCTATTAATTTTACCTACCATTGACCTTTAGCAACCCGGAGAAGACAGTGTTGATGGAGGAGAACAATTGGCAACAACTGTTAACGAGGCTCCGATCAGGGTCTCTAATATTTTCGAGAGATGCGACATAGGTATACATATTGTTACATTATAATTATACCATAGTGAAGCTCACTCATATCACTGTATGAGAATTTCGCTGTAACTCATGACCGACGATAAATTTGCCCTACCTTCTCTGATCGTCTGTATCAGTATAGCCTATCTTGGGCTTTAAAATGAATTGCTGCATTATGGTTAATCGTAGGCGATTCCCAGGTGCTATTCAGAGAGTGATAAAGAAGATGCCCCCGGTTCCCGTCACGAAACCTGGATCATTGACAGCCCCCGAGAGTGAACAGAGTGAGTTATAGCTATTTTAAAAGTCATCCGGATGGGTCACTAGGCGCTACCTGTGCTGAATATGCTAATATTTGTTTAGTCATTTTTTGTACTATCTACTGATCGTAGAAACAGTTTTGTGTCATCGTCAGAGCGGACTCCCAGTTTGAAATTTTATGGGTTTACAATACGATTCTTCAAGTAGGAACATCCTGCAATAAACTTCGTTTTCATACACTAATCCGCTGTGACGTTTCCAGGTGCTGTTCAGAGAATAGCTTTGGCCATCCGGAGCGAGCCCCGGGCCCCCGTCGCAAAACCCCCCGTTCAACCGGACACCACACCAGCAGCCGGGCCTGCGCCTCCAACCGGCAAGGTCCGAAAAGACCACATATCCAGACTTCAGAAAGAGTCCGAGAGTCGCCTGAGTGAGTTACAGCTATTTCTAAACATCATTTAGAATTATCGCCTGTAATATGGATGGGTCACCACTCACCAGGCGCAGGAAGAATTCATCTTTGGTCAATTAAAGTTGATACTTTCATCTTTGACCATTTTTTTGTACGATCTTTGTGACGAGTAAAAATTGGAAACCGCATTATTTAATCAGACTTTTGTGTGATAACTGACGCGTTCGCCATAATACAAAACTCCCTAACCTTAAGGCGTAAGGTTTCCCTCTGTGCAACGTCGAAAATAACTTAGTCACGCCTTTATCATTTCAGAGAGACGACATCTTCACCCCAAGGGCCTCCGAGATACTTCGGCGACAATGGTTGAGGAGGCTTTGAAGATCAATCCGGTGATAGGTAATAATTCAAGTGCAACATATCGTTTTTAAACTTTCGGACATTAATTTTTCTTCAAGTCGAAGATTGCATCGCCGTTTCCACACAAAGGTAGCTGGTTTGACGCACATCAAGTCTATTTTAAGCGATATAATACCCATTCACGGTCGAAATGGGGGTTAGTAGATATGCAATCGAAACCACTACAGTTTTAGGTCACTATAAGTCACGTTTCACTTGGTATGTGTATATAACTCAGTTCTAAAGTTAAAACTAACCCACTTCTGCAGGTTATCTCAGAAATCCATCTCTTTACTTTTAGCAAATTTCATGTCTGTTTGAACCTCAGTCTTTTATCAGGAGCCGTGGCCGAACAGGCGAGACAGATCCTCCAGGAGGATAGATGGGATGTGTTCGGCAAGAGTATTGCCCAGCTGTCGGCTGTCGCATATCAAGGTAACTTATTTATAGGTATTCGATCAAACAGTCCCGGAAAAAATTGGCTCACCGGCGCGGCCCAGCCAAAATATTTGCTACTCTTTTTTTGCAACAAAAAATCCTTGATCACGTCCAAATACTAGGGTCTCCCCAACAAAATCTTGCACCGGTCGAAAGCCGCGAGATTTAACTACCTAGACAAAACAATCTGCCACAATCTGCTTTCCAATCCAATAAGTTTGCACAGGAAAAAAACTGAATTCGTTTTGTTGATATGATGTGTGGTCAAAGCAACCTGTCTCCATATAATACTATCCGTACAACAACAAGAAATGTAGGATCATTGAATCTTTGGCGACTAATGTGGGGGGGGGGGGGTAAACCCTATTTTGACTCATTTTGCCTCATTTTTCCCTTTTTTGGCTGCCCGAATGAGGTAAAATAAAGTAAATTTCGGCAAAAACATTTGTCTCTAAAAAGGCTCAGAAAACTAGATTCATTTACCTCACTTTACCTCATTTTACCTCATCCCAATTTTGGCTGCCCGAATGAGGTAAAATGAAATTGACCCCCCCCCCCCCACTAATGTTTAGAACTCTTTCAGACGAACTGGAGCTCATGGAGCACGCAGGAAAGATCCTACTCAAGATCGCGGCAGACGCGAAGACAGTAAGTAAGATTCAGTCTCCTCCTCATTACTCGAATTTGTTGGGTCAGTTATTTAATGAAAAATTTTTACCGTTAAATTGTGTGGCTGTGTTGTCTGTGACATCGTTTCCAAGTGGGGAACATGGTTTATTTTTAATTAATTTTATCATAAGAACAGGTCCAGCTTTATTATTAATTGTATATTATGCAGAGTCTGTGAAAACTGTTCATTTCAGGCTGGAACTGATTGAAAAGCCTCCTTCGGAGCTCTTCGGACGCAGCTTGTCCCTCGACGATTCTCCTAACCATCTTGTGGATTCTGGGGAGAGGACAAGGACAAGATTGCATTATTATTTTAATTATGTCAACCCGATTGAGATCCAGAGATAAGTTATGGCTTCCCATCTTAGACCACAACTCAGCTCTTTATCTGCATAAAAGAAACACCACCCGCCAGATTAAATTCACTTAAATTCCATCATTTGTATTAGGTCAATGAAACTGCATACATAACAAGCTTAGACATTTCCTCGAATACACCTGGAAAAAAAATGGATGTATACTTTTGGAAGTACATAGAATCTCCTGGGAGACCCTATAAAAAATCTTCGCATTTTTCTATTGGCGTTTTTATAAAACCTGATAAATAGAGCTCCTGATCAACGATACTCATCGTTTTAGCATCCAATCCTTTCAGAATGGTAAGAATTTGAGTTTTAGAGTTGCTTTTAAAGGGTTCTAAAACTTAACTCACTTCAAATTTAAGCAAATATATGGCCTGATATGTGCTCAGTATTTTGTTACACGTGTATTTGTATTTGTAACACGTGTATTTTTAAGAATTGGTAATTTAACACTTGTAATTATTTTTGTAATACGTGCATGTATTGTTTTGACTAACACGTGTACTTTTCTAGAACGTGTTTTTTAAATGTCCTCCGCAAGTGACAAGCAGTCCACACGGCCAATGTTGCGTGAACTGCTGTCTGCTACGGTGATCTTATTCACACAAAAGGAATAAACTAAGAATAATGTTCATTTATTTATCATACTGTGCTATGTTTTCACGTATTTGATTTAATATCTTTATCTGCCTAAAAGAATTGTGTTATCATTAAGTCATCAAGCTTCGTAAACTCGACATTTTCAATAGCTGTGGGCTAAACAAGTTTTCGCCATATTTCAGTCACCGTTAATCTTGTTATCATTATATCTGGTGGTTTTTTAACCGAACCAATGCATCATATTCCAGTCCCGCCAAATTGTGACAAATACTGGCAAATTTTTAAAAATTTTCTAATTTGCCGCAGACGCGATTACTGAAACCTTATGAAAGCTTTCGGCGCGGCTGACATTGTCATGCTTTCAGGCGCGCGACGTTTCAGGCGCGCGACGTTTCAGGCGCGCTACGTTTCAATTTCACTCGTAGGTGGGCACACCAGTGTTAGAGTACTGCTCAAAGGTTACTATGAGTATGACATGCGATTATCAGTTCTACAAAATGTCTATTAATTAATAGTTAGATTGATAAAGTTCTTTAGATTTATTGAATAATCTCGGTCAAATTGAGTGGGTTCCTTGTTACAGCAAGACAAGAATTCAAACACATTTTATTCTATCAATAATTCATTTCAGTCATATTCAAGATTACAGTCGAAACATTCCATGAAATGCTTACTCTAAAATCTTTAAGTAAACGGTTGTCAACATTGCAGTTCGTCTCCTGGCCATGTTTTAGAAACCTTGCAGTCATTCGATCTGCAGACACAGCTTGGCAGCGAATCCGTCGCTGTACGGAGATTCATCTGCAAGTGCAGGCCCAAAATTGTTGAATGCAATGCCCTAGCCTATAATATCTGAATTACACCATCTTAAATCAAAACTCGTCCAGTTCATGCAATGCTCTCTCTTCCTGATAACCTGTAACCACCCATCAGGGGCTACTCTTCTCAATTTAAACTGGCTGCTTTGCTAGAGGAATGACAGAGATCTCCTCTCCGTGGTCTGGGTGGTCACACGATTCACCAATTACGAAAGCGATGTCAGCTATTTTAAATAACCTAACAGTTAAGACTCGGTTTTGATATTAAAACTGTTCGTGTTACAGGGTTATGGATATACAAATATTGTGTCAATGAAGATCACAAATAAAAGGTACAAAATACTTTCGGATGATGCAGATAAAATGGAATCATTACAGACCTGGCTGACTATCTAATTCTCTATTGTGTTCACAGTAGTTCAAGCCTAACATAATTGAAGATTCTAATAATTTAAGCATTGATCGTTGAAACACAGTTCAACAATGATCAAATAACCTAGCAGTAAGGTTGAAATATAGTACAATCGAAAGTATAACTAAATACCAATATCATAAAACCGTTAATATCAATAATCAAATGTCGAATTCATAGTGCAGCAAAAACAGCAGAGAGATAATCAATGACTTCGTACTCCTGGTTATTGTAGGCTTGCATGAAGGATTCCAGAAGGGAGTCGTACCTTATCCACTTGGCAGCTCTCTGGGGTGGAGGTCTTCTCATCAGCCTATCCGTGATCTTCTGGTCTGTTAGTCCTTGCTCTAGTTTGAGGGCTTCAAGGAATTTCCAGATGGTAGGATTTGAACACTGGACGAGGCTGCGGAAACCATTATGTCATCCTTCTGCAAGGTTCAAAGAGCGTGGGAGACCAGTTAGACAGCAATCGTACTGGTTCCAGGACAGGTGATCGAAGCGAGCAGGTCTGTTTGGTGTTCCCATCCACGTGGACTTAAAGTATAATGTAAAGACATCCATATCTGCGGAGAGGATAGGTCTAACTCTAAGGGTCTGCCATGCGTAGTGGACGTCACCAGGAGGGATGAAAGGTAGAGCTCCGATCCGTTGGAAGGATCCAACCACCTGATACTCCGGAACAAGGTCGGAGCGAGCGAAGTTCCTCCATAGAGCCTGTTTGAAGTGGAAGTAGCAGCCACGTAGAGTAGTCCCGGGCCAGACAGCAGTGACACTGTTCCGTAGCCCAGCTTCATAATCGCAAAGGGCGGTGTCTGGATGGAAAGGTCCAAAGCGATCCAGTTCTTCTAGTAGGTTTATGTAGTGTTCTTGCCGCTTTCCAGGGAGAAGACCAAACGCCAGAGGAAGTCTGTAATTGTCTGGGGTGATTCCATGTACTGTCAGGAGTTGGGTGAATAGATTGGGTGCCACCTTTTTTTGTTTTGTGTTGCTGCGCTGAGAGGTGTTTATGTTGGTCGGCAGCTTTCTGCTTCAATTCTGCTCTGAACTCTGCTTTCTTAGCTAGAATTTCTTTAGCTAGGCAAATTTTGTCTTTCGCACGTACGTCTCCTGAGGAAAATAATTATTATTAATAGTCAAACATGAATCATAACACATAGAGGGGGGTTTGGTCGTTGATTACGTTATCAACATTTTCTTTTTTACCCTCTAGAATAATAACAATTTGACAATATTTTAATTCAAATTCCACTCAATTTCACTCTGATAGTGATAAAATTTAGAAATTGATCGAATATCCGGCTATAATACAGCAGGGTGTCATAATTATTGGCGTGTAGACAATTTTGCGTAAAATTTTAGCCCACCCAAGCTTTTAGAAACGATCATTACTTGACTTCTGAGTGTCAGTTTCCTATGGAGTCTTGATCATTCAAGAAATAATCCTTCATACTACAGTTTAGTCTAAAAATGAAGTCCGAAAGAAGTTAAATTTTGTCGATAATCACGACGAAAGAGAAAAATTTGGATTACTGGACTTAAAGCCTTCGGCTGCTTACCCTAAATTCCAGGATGAGTCCGCCTGACTATATTTTATTGCGTCAGTTAGAGGAGAAAGAAAGCTTTTATAAAATCTATAGTTTTCTATATGTTTCGCTATCGCCTGAAGAGCTGTGCACTTTAGCCTAAAGAATAATTTCAGAAAAAATTCACCGAAAAAAAATTACACAAAATCTCTTACTCTTTCGTAAATCTAACCAAGTATGGAATCGACCCTTTAAATAACGGCCTAAATTATGGGTTTTGAGGTACATCAACACAAAATTCTGAAATTAAGAAAAAGTTCAGACGATTATCTACAGAACAGTTTTTGAATTTGGTAATTTAGATATTCAGAAGTAAAGTTATGACCCGGCGAAAAAGTATTGATTTCATCATAAAATACACATAAAATTTCAAACACGCCAATAATTCTGACACCCTGCAGTAGTAAGTAGTTTAGAAGTTGCTTGGCCGGATATCATAACAATGATTTCGGCTCATCATCATAGCATGATCAGGGTAGCATGAAACGTAGATAAAGTGTTTTCTAGGAAAATAGTCAAGGGGGGGGGGGGGGGGGGGGGGGGGGGTCAGGCCATGATTACGTACTTTTGCTGTCAGGAGGGGGGGTTGGGTCTTGATAACGGTTGATTACGGAAGGGGGGTAAAAATTTGTAAATGCGTGTATTACCGCGCGGCGCTAAAAATCTTTCAAAGTTGTTGACACTTAGGGGTTTTATCAGTATAAACAGATCGCGCTCGCCGCAGAAGATTAATCCGTGTTCGTGGAAACATTTGTGTCCGATTTGGAAACATGTTTTTGGGGCCCAGATTGCCTAGTTAGGGCTAAATTTACAGGGTTCTGAAGTGTCTAGGAATAATATTTAAACCTTTTTCTAGCCTGCCAAGATTTGGAAATTTGAAAATAGAATAAGGTACAATTTTTTTGACGTTGAAATGGAGTTCGTTTTAAAACACCACCCCTAAAATGTCATTTCTATATGTGTGATAATTACAAAATGTACAGGAGGCCTGATTTATCTTTTGTCACTAGAACTATTTGTTTTGTCTTATTAAAACATTAAGCTACTTGAAAACATTCACTCACTAAAGGAAGTACCTCAAAACCGTAATCACCCCCTAAAATGTCACGTGCACCACCCCTAAAACGTCAGGTAAAACAGGTTGTGTAGACTAGAATTTCTCTCTGTTGAAAAAAATGGTGGAATTTAGTCAATTTACTTTTTGTGACATTTTGGGGACTTTTTTTTGAATACCCAGAACTTTCGGCAAAACAGTAACTCAGTCAACAAAATTAACACCTGTAGATATCTAGAGTTAGATTATCTAGTTATAAACTAACAATTGGCACAAAAGAAATGGATTCAATGTGATTTTAACCTTGTGCAAATTGCAGGTTTTAATTGCATTTTTTGGGATTTTTAACATCATCCTGCATTTTGGCAATTTTAGTGACCTGTAGTTAACTAAGCCAACCCAGTAATCGATCTGACCTCTATAGACTAGATTTGACTGCTTTTAGCAAAATTGAATGTCAAAAACTACGGTTTTTGGCAGGAGGTGACCGGGACATGATTTTAGGCCTGACCGGGACCGGGACCGGGATACAAAATGTGACTTGACCGGGACCGGGATTATCAATTTACCGTGACCGGGACCGGGACCAATAATTTCTGGGATTTCTATCTTACCGGGACCGGGACCGGGACCAACAATTCAATTTTACCGGGATGACCGGGACCAAAACTGGTTTTCTCATATTGAGAGCTGCAAATTTCATTTACATTATAATTGAACAATTTGAATAAGTAATAACTAGAATATTAAATTAGAAAAAACTATAAAAAACCGTCAATATGGGGCATGGGCCTAATGTACTACACCAATAATGTTCATGTACTGATTACTCAAGTTCACCCTCATTCCTCATTCCTCAATCAATGATCCCTCAAATTATTCAACAGTTTCATTCTCCAATTCCAATTGACAATTGGGCGTAGCCCGAGTTGAAAACTTGATGTTAGTTTGCACTTATGAGTTATGTAACGATATTAGTTACCTAAACTTGTTTAGCAATTTTAAACATTGTTTTATTTGGCTCAGAGGTTGTTTAAAGATGAAATTCACAATGAATCAAGTAAAAACTTAAAATCACAGTGAATGAAATTATGTAAAAGATCCCGGTCAAAATCCCGGCAAATTTGAGTGATTGACCGGGACCGGGACTGGGACCGGGACCAAGAATCCTGAATTAACCGGGACCGGGATCATAAATCAGCATTTGACCGGGACCGGGACCGCGAACGGGATGAAAAATGTGACTTGACCCTGTTGACCGGGACCGGGATAGCTCAAAATTGCCAATCCCGGTACCGGGATTCCCGGTCACCTCCTGGTTTTTGGTACTTACTAGTTTATGGTAAACCTATGATATGCCCCCTAAAATGTCTTTTTTTTCTCCCCTAAAATGTCAAATTTATATTTTGTTCGCATGGTGTGCGATAATAGCTCTTGTTTTGGCACTTGTTAATTATTAACATCAACTATTAACGAAATGTGAGTATGCATTGCATCTTAGGAAAAGCCTGAGTAATTTGATCAGGTTAAAATGACATTTTAGGGGGGGATAATTAGACATTTTATAAGGGGATTTTTATTGCGATTAATAAAATAAAACTAATTCATTGAGCTGCCAAAGCTTTCCAATATTACCATTATATTAGATGCTAAATATGATGTTTAATAGGCTGGTACCTCCATTTTATGGTGCTTGTAGTCTCAAAGCCAGAATCTGATAAAATGACATTTTAGGGGGCGGCCAGTTGACATTTTAGGGGAGGGTAGTAATATTGAGTAATGTATAACTTTCCATATCTCCAGTCATATGTACAAAGTTGCTAAAATATGTAAATATCACTATCCTAGACCAAAACTGAGTTAATATTAATGAATTCCAGAGTTATAAAATTGTGCGCTTTTTTTCAAAAGTAAAAAATTCGTACAAAGTGAAAAAAATGCCCTTATGGCATCATTTAGATTCAATTTCAGGATGTGGCAGGGTCTGAATGATATTTTTTTATGTTTAGGAGTTACAAATGATTAGGTAAGATACTTTCTAAGAAGATGGGATCCAATCAATCAAGAGTGGCGTCTAAGGGGTGGGTGACATTTTAGGGGTGGGGGGGGGGGTTTACCCGTATATGTCCGTAAACAGAGTTGGATTTGCCCTGGTATGATACAGTGGCTTGAGTACTAACAGGGGGGGAGCCAAGTGGATATTTGTAGATATTTGTAGATTAATGTAGAATGGATAATCCACGAAAAAAGTGGATGACATTCTACAAATTTATACATTTATCTCCAAAAATTCAGTAGAATTTCTGGGCACATATTTGAGATTACATTTTTTGTAGATAAATATAGATATTTGTAGATTATTGTCAATGGATAATTCACGAAAATTCTACAAATTCTACAAATTTATACATCTATCTCCAAAAATTCAGTAGAATTTCTGGGCACATATTTGAGATATACATTTTTTGTAGATAAATGTAGATATTTGTAGATTATTGTCAATGGATATTATGGATAATTCACGAAAAAAGTGGATGACATTATCCAAATATCTACAAATATCCACTTGGCTCCCCCCCACTAACATTTTAAGCTTCCTGTGAAATATTTCTATGGTTCATAGAATGAACGAAATGAACAAAAAATGAACATTCTCCTAGAATCGCCTAAAATGGACTGAAACCGATTGGGATCGATTTATATTGATACCACGAGTGTCCCTGAGAAGTTTGGTGGGTCTAGCATGTTCAGAAAGGGCTCTGGGCAATGTTTCCATTTTGGTGTCAGAGTAGTTGAGCTCGTGGAAACATTTGTGTCCGATTTGGAAACATGCCCTTGTAGCCGTATTTATGCCTATTGCCTTGACTGACTTGAAATCGATCTGGTATGGTAGAGGGTCATTTGTACTAATGGACACAAGTTATAAAGCAACATAAGGTCTCCAGTGCTTCATTTTATAGACATTGGCAAAAAACTATTTTTTGGCTCAGCGAACCAAAAATGGCACTGAATTTTGGTAACTTGAACTAGGAAGGTCGTAGAGACTTGAATTCTAGCTTAAAATGACCGCAAACATCATATTTATATACAACTTATAAAGCAATATAAGCCTTTTAATGCTTATTCGTTAAGATATTGACAAAAATCGGTCATTTTGGTTGCACGCGTGAGGAAAAATACCAAATTGGGGAACAATTGTTGGTCTTTTTTAACAAGTTTTGTGCTCAAGTTATTAAAATGTGCTTTGCAGTTGTAGATCGGGTGTTTTCTTCCAATATGGGTTTCGGTATAAATCCGGAAGCACCCGGTTCATGGGTGATAGGGGTTAAGAACCCTAAAATGTCAGGAGATGGGCGAGACAATTGTCTGAATTTGGTTATAAAATCACTCTTTGCTAGGGTTAGCTTTTTTCCGCTACAGCGATCCGATTTCTAACTACTAATCATCCCCCTCTACATCATTCTCTTTTAGATACGTGATTTCTATAAGTTCTTCAAGGTACATACGGCATGATGTAAAGTCTGGTGGTTACAATTCGATAAAATCAGTACAAGCAAAAAACTGCCCCAAATTTCTCGTCCGAAATTATAAACGTTATTGAGACAATACATTAGGGTAATTTACCACTGAGACCAGATGTAGTGATCTAGATTCAGATAAAGCGAAGAAGGTGCATATATGAATTAAAAATCGATTTAATTGGCTATCAATTATAATAATTACCAGGCATAAGATATTTTTCCTTCAAACGATCCAATTCCACCACACTGGATTTGTGCTTCATTTTAGCATAGTTGATCTTCGCTTGAAAGATTTCTACGTCTTGTTTCTTTTAAAACCCTGCGGTTAAGATAATTTAAATTAAAGGTTTAGTTAATTGGAGAATTTAAAAGCTTACGAAATTAACTTCGGGATAACTTCTCAACTGCACAAAATATCCAAGTTAACAACCATTTAAATTTTAAGCAATTTAAATGGTTGTGAGCAATTTAAGCGTCTATTTCTTTATCCATGGGAATGTTAGCCTTAGTTTAAGCATTTATTTACGTTCATATAAGGGTCAAAACAAATAATAATATTGGAGTGCTACTAATGGAGCTGTTGTGACTGCCACACCGCACCCAACATAAGAGCTACTAACTTTTTTATGTCAATATCAGCATTACCAATCATCTAAGATTCTAACCACCGAGTTGTTCCTGTTGCAGATATAAATCTTAGAGGGCTTAGTTAATACTCGAGAATCTGGCAAAGGTCCTGCCTTCAATGATTCTGACCGTTCTGATGACAAAGATAAGCGTTTTTCCTAAGCGCAGAGGATTTTCCTAACAAAAGCAGTTAACATTGCTGTGCAAAACTTTCTACTTACTAGTCATTTCACTTTCACTGTCAAGTGTCAGGACACGTCATTTTAGTGTCATTTAAAAAACATGTCCTTAGTAGGCTGTATCAAAAACCACAAACAATAATTTATTCACCTTCTAAATAGGTGCATTAAGTCATAGGACTCCCAATTGACATTTAAATAATTGTTAAATTGAATTTTTTGTTCGATTGAGAGATTGTCAATAAATAGTAAAAATAGCACAGTTACCTGCATAGTTGACAAGTTCATTAATGTTGTTTCGGTGAACAGGGCGTTCTTTCTCATTCATTTCGTTTCAGGCTGAATTTGATTGTCATTATATTTACGCTTATCTATAATTGTACCAATCAAAATCATGTGAAAAGCTTGTATATGTTATAATCCAAAATTAAGTCTCGCTAGACAAACCATCTGCATCCTGTGAGAGCATCTTTGATTAGAAGATCTTTGGGGTGATCTTGGCAACTCTTTCTAAGCATAGTCTGGATCTATAAACATGTCAGCTTCTTGTGGTGATAGTAAAGTTATAATATTATTATTATTGTCTAATCTAAAATATCTAATAATTTAGTTAATTATTAACAGGCCCCTTAACGTGGGCAATAACATCCTCTTTACAAGCTGAAATATATAGTTCGGAATTAATAGTTCAGGAAAATAATAAAGGGTAGAGCGATAAAAAGGCATGTATATATCAAGCAAGATATTAAACACAACTTTTTTTTGGCGGAGGTACTGAAATGACTGTTATCTAAAATGAGTACCCTTAGGACACGTTAAATAGTGCATAAACCATAAATATGTTTGAACCATAAATTAATTATCCGTAGTGGGTAAATGTGTTTACACTTCCATTGGATGATGAGTTAAGTGGTCAGTTGTGCAGTTCCAAATCGGAAAACCAATACTGAAAGTAAAAAACGAGTAGGAAAACAAAATAGTTAGGATAACAAGATCCCATGAAAAAACTGCTGTATCAAATTAAACATTGATGAGACCTGTTAAATTACATGGTTAGATAGCTACTTTAAATAACATTACGGGAGACAAAAGTAAATTACGAACAAAACAGAAAGGTTATCGGAACATGGTCTCTCACATTTGTGTAATGAAATGCTATGCTAATGGTAGCGCTCGATCTGTTATGCCTTTAACCGCGCGCACTGCACACGACAATTGTCAGAGTGTTTTTCACCACCAAAATGTGCTACTCTTGTTAAATTCAAAACTTTCTTCTCACTGAAAATGCTAATAAATTTTATCGAACAGTATTTTTGGGTAAAAATATTTCCAAATGCGACCATAAAATACCTTTAAATGTTTGCGCGCGAAAATCTATTGTTTGTAAATTTTTTAAATGTATACTGAGAAAATTTTTAGAAATGGTTAGTGATTTCTTATGATATTATTATAAAAAGATTTTGATTATAAAAAGTTTTACAAATTGTAATGTATTAAAATGCATTATATGTGAGGCTTTTCTTCATATTTACTTGCCGAAATTGCCTGAAACCTTGAAATGTGAAAGAAAAATAAGCATTTAAAATTGAGATCCATCGAACCATTTGAATGTCAAAAAAATTTTAAACCAGGTAACTTTAATTTACAATTTAAAACACTTTTAAAATGGCGATGACCCACGTTAATATATAATGGTCAAAATTCCTTATAATATATAAACAGTTTTTATTTTTTAAACGATTATTGGCGGGTCGAAAAGTAATATAAAAAATAAACTCTTCGATATTCAGTATTTGTTAATTATTACCTAAAGACCTCGGTAGTAAGCCTTTAGTTGTCAAAAATTATAAACACATTCAACATTAAAAATAGAGGTATGGCGGAACAAAAGGCTAAACACCGCTCAGCAGTGAGAAAGTTACAATAATTTTAAATTTCAAAATAGTATTTTCAATGGGACACAAAACAATCAACATTTTACTCGAATTTTAGTATAATTTGAACCTGAAAAGCGTTTAGACTATTTTATTCATTAGCTGTTATCTTTAATTTATTAAACGATATGAATTAATTCATAACTTGATGCGCGGTTTCGGGTAATGTTGTGCAGCGCGCGGCCGAAATTGTGACAAACAGAAGGAAATAACTCGTCATCAAAATGTATCGCGCGAGAATGTTTTAGTAGACGCGCATGTGACGTCACAAGTGAAGAGCTCGCAGTGGGTCATTAAAACGATTAAAATGTATATAATAGAGCTTGTCGAAACAAAACATAGCTGAGCACATATAAAGTTGCCTTTAGTTGAAATTATCATATTAATATGCTTTTAGAGTTGTTAGAGTGGAAACAGGCGCATAGCTACTGCTAGCTAGCTATTCCAAAATTTTTAAAATTTAACGACTGTTATCAGTCGCATAGCGTCATGCCGTTTTTGCTGGCGAATTGATGGCAGTGTAACTGAGATGGTATGCAGTGAAATTGATTCTGTGATGGCGTGCTTATGGGACAGAGTTATTATTAGCATTACGGTTGATGTTGCGCTCTGATTTCCTTAGTCCCGTTATATTGTATAACATAAAGTTAGGCCATTCGTCTGCAATGCCCTCGTTTTGTTGATCAATGAGCATGTTTTTTATGCACCTTTTGTAGATGTTAAGGTTGAATAGACTTGGCAAGGAAGTTGCTGCGTCACTATATCTGTTTATTGCTAATAGTGGACCTTTGTAGAATACTGAATTATTGTAAGGGTGTTTACCGTATTCATCTGACCATAAAGTTGTATGACTCGAATCCGGATCGGCGACGTTAAATATTGGTGCACTGTTAGGTATTGTTTTCTTTATAGAGGGAGGCACTAGACTTGGGAAGTTTTTTAGCTTATGTATAAAAACTAATGCGTTCTTCACGATGATACTTTGAACTGTCAATATTTTGTGTACATAGAAACCAGACTTGGTACTTGCTGGTGGTGTACCATCTTTGTACCAGTAATTAACAAAACCTGGTAGTATTGCTCTAAGACCCATTTTCTGTTTAACAAATAGTGTTTCTATATGGGATTTGGCAGCAAAACCCCAGACGAGGGAGCAGTAATTAAGGTGAGACTGCACAAAGCTGTGATATATTTGTAAACGTGCTTCCAGAGGCAAATATTTTTTAAGTTTGTACATGACTCCAATGTATCTGGCCATTTTCATTTTCATGGCAGAAATATGTTGCGACCAGTTCAGTTTGTTATCGGCCGGACATGATAAAATCAAGCAGTTTCTTATCAGCAAGTCAGTGCACTTGTGAAAAGATTAGAGAGCAAAAATGTTGATGCGTAATGTAAAGTAAAAATGATTGAAAATATTATAGTCGTCTACTTTGATGAACTTCATGTCCATGACACGATATCATTATAAGCTCCACCTTTTATCGCTGGCGAGGCTTAACTCGACGCCCCTTATCGATATTCATTCAACGTTCTGACTGAGGAATAATGTTTAGATATAACGCCAATTTCAAATGTCATAGTACCTTAGTTGTATTTATTTGGTAGTATAATATACTCCCCAATTCCATTTCATATTTCCATACTGATCTCATATAGCTAGAATTATGAAATTTGTTGGTCCTAGCACTAACCCGGAGGGGTTTATAACACATAACACCGGCACGCTTAAGTTATATTAAAATAACCCCTCGTGCTAAAGCACGTCGGGGTTATTTTCATAATAATCCCTCGTGCTTCGCACTCGAAATTATTATAAATTTTTCCCGCGCGTCGCGGGAAAAATTGAAATATAATCCCTGCGCATGCCGGGGTTATGTGTGTTGTAAAAATGTTTTGTAAAAATGTAACATGTAATATGGTAGTGTTACTATGGTAACATGTATGTATAAAAATGTTACTGACCTTTAAAACAGAGGGAACGTCGTCCCCGGCGTTGAAAAAACCCCTCCCCTCTAGGTTAAACAATCTGGATCTGAGTGACACGTGACTCTCCTGAAGAGAAAACTAGGATTAAACAGGAATTAAACAGAAACTAAAAAGGAATTAAACACAGCATATTGTTTGAGACTTGAATCAGTAACTATGGTCATATAGTTTGATGATTTTATCTGCATACGGTCGTCTCATTTGTTTTCTCAATATTGAAATTGTTGAAACATTTAGAAAGTGGAATTAAACAATATAACTTTTTTAGCTAAACAGAAAATAAACTTTAAATTTAAATCTAACCTTGAGTGAGATAAGAAACAGAAAATAAACTTTAAATTTAAATCTAACCTTGATTGAGATAAGAAACAGAAAATAAACTTTAAATTTAAATCTAACCTTGAGTGAGATAATAAACAGAAAATAAACTTTAAATTTAAATCTAACCTTGAGTGAGATAAGAAAAATAAACTTTAAATTTAAATCTTACCTTGAGTGAGATAAGAAACAGAAAATAAACTTTAAATTTAAATCTAACCTTGAGGGAGATAAGAAACAGAAAATAAACTTTAAATTTAAATCTAACCTTGAGTGAGATAAGAAACAGAAAATAAACTTTAAATTTAAATCTAACCTTGAGTGAGATAAGAAACAGAAAATAAACTTTAAATTTAAATCTAACCTTGAGTGAGATAAGAAACAGAAAATAAACATTAAATTTAAATCTAACCTTGAGTGAGATAAGAAACAGAAAATAAACTTTAAATTTAAATCTAACCTTGAGTGAGATAAGAAACAGAAAATAAACTTTAAATTTAAATCTAACCTTGAGTGAAATAAGAAACAGAAAATAAACTTTAAATTTAAATCTAACCTTGAGTGAGATAAGAAACAGAAAATAAACATTAAATTTAAATCTAACCTTGAGTGAAATAAGAAACAGAAAATAAACATTAAATTTAAATCTTACCCTGAGTGAGATAAGAAACAGAAAATAAACATTAAATTTAAATCTAACCTTGAGTGAGATAAGAAACAGAAAATAAACTTTAAATTTAAATCTAACCTTAAGTGAGATAAGACTCTGCAGAACAATGACCTGGAACTCAGCAGCGGACAGTTCACCCTCCTTAGCTGAAGCCAAGGCATCCGACAGTGCTTCAATATGATTCAGCGACATTGGGCTCTAGGTTGTGTGTTGACATTACCTTATATGGTAGTGTTACCATAGTTACTCACTAGTAGTGTTACCATAGTTACACTATTAGTGTTATCATAGTTACTCACTAGTAATGTTACCATAGTTACTCACTAGTAGTGTTACCATAGTTACACTATTAGTGTTACCATAGTTACACTAGTAATGTTACCATAGTTACACTATACTCTGTTGGATTCTAGTAAGTAGTTAGTAAGTGGACACTGTACTAGTACTACTGGATACTGTACTAGTACTACAACAAACAATGAGTCAACTGCTTCAAATAATCTGAACAATATCATACTGAATACTCTAGTAACAGGGAGGAGTAATAAGACTATGACATTGTAACGCAGATAATGACACACCACGTGACTGTGCTCCTTCAGTCAGTGTAAACATGGTAACATTACCATATAAGGTTATATTACGTTCTCCTTCTATTCAGTCGACACTCAGTCATGTGCTGATCAATCAGCCAATGATAATAGAGTATTATATATAGTAGATATGGCCTGAGATAGATTTGCAACAATATTAAGCGTGTGTTAAACCGCAACATAACGCGATATAGAATAGAATAGCTTTGAGCTGATACGAGAAATAACCGAAGAATATGTAAAATAAGTGTCATTTGTAACTGCAAATTTCAGGATATGAATGATTTAAGAAATGGTAGATTTTAGAAACTTGAACTTTATTTATATTAAAAGGAAAATATTTTTTATCGAATGAATGGAAGTAAAGCTTTACTCCTCTATACAGCTTATTTTCTACTGTGGTTATTCTTACGTAATTCACACAATTTTGGTAGCGTTACCATGTAACTATGGTAGCGCTACCATGTAACTATGGTAACGCTACCATGTAACTATGGTAACGCTACCATGTAACTATGGTAACGCTACCATGTAACTATCGTAACGCTACCATGTAACTATGGTAACGCTACCATGTAACTATCGTAACGCTACCATGTAACTATGGTAACGCTACCATGTAACTATCGTAACGCTACCATGTAACTATCGTAACGCTACCATGTAACTATCGTAATGCTACCATGTAACTATGGTAACGCTACCATGTAAATATCGTAACGCTACCATGTAACTATCGTAACGCTACCATGTAACTATCGTAACGCTACCAATTACCATGTAACTATGGTAACGCTACCATGTAACTATCGTAACGCTACCAATTACCATGTAACTATGGTAACGCTACCATGTAACTATCGTAATGCTACCATGTAACTATGGTAACGCTACCATGTAACTATGGTAACGCTACCATGTAACTATGGTAACGCTACCATGTAATTATCGTAACGCTACCAATTACCATGTAACTATGGTAACGCTACCATTTAACTATGGTAACGCTACCATGTAACTATCGTAACGCTACCATGTAATTATCGTAACGCTACCAATTACCATGTAACTATCGTAATGCTACCATTTAACTATGGTAACGCTACCATGTAACTATGGTAACGCTACCATGTAACTATGGTAACGCTACCATGTAACTATGGTAACGCTACCATGTAACTATGGTAACGCTACCATGTAACTATGGTAACGCTACCATGTAACTATGGTAACGCTACCATGTAACTATGGTAACGCTACCATGTAACTATGGTAACGCTACCATGTAACTATGGTAACGCTACCATGTAACTATCGTAACGCTACCATGTAACTATGGTAACGCTACCATGTAACTATCGTAACGCTACCATGTAACTATGGTAACGCTACCATGTAACTATCGTAACGCTACCATGTAACTATGGTAACGCTACCATGTAACTATCGTAACGCTACCATGTAACTATGGTAACGCTACCATGTAACTATCGTAACGCTACCAATTACCATGTAACTATGGTAACGCTACCATGTAACTATGGTAACGCTACCATGTAACTATGGTAACGCTACCATGTAACTATGGTAACGCTACCATGTAACTATGGTAACGCTACCATGTAACTATGGTAACGCTACCATGTAACTTTCGTAACGCTACCAATTACCATGTAACTATGGTAATGCTACCATGTAACTATCGTAATGCTACCATTTAACTATGGTAACGCTACCATGTAACTATGGTAACGCTACCATGTAACTATGGTAACGCTACCATGTAACTATCGTAACGCTACCATGTAACTATCGTAACGCTACCATGTAACTATGGTAACGCTACCATGTAACTATCGTAACGCTACCATGTAACTATGGTAACGCTACCATGTAAAGTCACACCCAATCAACTCTACCGAGAGGAACATAGTGGAACAAACCACTGAGGAGCAAAAACCACGAATATTGCTTCAGACCTCTAGATCGGCGATATTTGGACAACACATCTGTTCATCCATCATCACATTGGCTTAAACAAACACCTTCACACCATTTGCAAATCAAACACCAGTGCTTGTCCTATGTGCGGCGACGGAGAGGAAACTGTCTCACACTTCCTTGGACAGTGTCCGGCTATTGCCCAAATTAGAGGTCAATATTTCCAGGACTACTACCTCTCTGTCAATGACATATTCGACAACCGACACATCACCACGATTGTCAATTTCGCAAACCGCACCAAACGCTTAATTGTGCCGGAAGAGCTGGATCAGACCGGGGTGACTTAAAGTATTATCTCATATGCTGTCTCGTCTCGTTTTACTTCCAAACCCAGCTGACATTTATGCGTATCATTTTGACTCATATCACTTCTTACACCATCCTCCACTATTCACTCTGATTTCACCTGCAACCTTCCCCAGGGTTGCCACACCCCAGAGGTAGGCAGATCATCTCAATGCTATCCTCTCGTGGGCTATCTTGGCCCAGCCTCTCTTAAAAAAAATAAAAATAAAAAAATCCATCATCACCACCAATATGTTCATCCTACATAGTAGTAGTAGTAGTATACACATCACCACCAACAGGGTCATCCATCATCAAGCCTTGCGGACCAATACTGTTAGTCCTACCGGGTGATTGGCAGTGCAAACACTGGAAAAGACAATTGACAAAAATTACCTTATATGGTAGTGTTACCATAGTTACGCTACAAATTAAAGGTTATCAATGCACAAACTCCACCAGGCGCCGTCCAGTAAATTTATACGTACCTACAAGTACAACAAGGACGAGCAATCTAGATCTACCTTAGAAATATGATTATTTAGTTCCTGAGGTATTCCAAGACAATTTTATTGTTGATCTGGGTGCACAAACGCTAGTAATGGTATAGTACAAATAAAGCTAGTATATATCAATCTAGAACAATCATCACAAATATATACTTATATAATGCTTTTGGACACGAAGGGAAACACACAACGTAGCTTCATAAAACTACATCATTAGAGCCTGTAAAAACAAATATATACCTACTGGTGTCATCTACAAACTCTAAGTGGACTTTTTGGTCAACATTAGAATGTTGTTATCTAGTAACTAACATTAGAATGTTGTTAATGAATGAAATACATATGTCTGATAACATAGCGTTAGTTGTAGTAACTTTATACAAATATTTCGATAGTGTCAAAAGTTCCCAGTGAATAATTATCACATAACGATCCGTTTTAAGTTTAAATCAAAAGCAAAACCCCATATACAAAAGTACTCAGTTTTATTTAAATGTACCAGATGAAAAGTGTGCCTTGGTAATATTATAGTGGAGATGAACAATGACAACATCTCATTATGGATAACACATAACACGATGATGTGAAATATAAACCATTACGGGTGGCGTAACGTTGTATTATTTAAAGAAAAGTGGTTAAAACTAGCCGTGTTCCAGATGGGTCTAAAAGTAGAAGTTGATGAAACAATGGTATCACACTAGCCTGGAGAGGGATTATTTAAAACATATAAGTGAAACGAAAAGTTATATCACACTACTCTATATCACACTATTCTATATCAAACTTTTCTATATCACCTTTCATTACACTATTCTGAATTCCGTACTCTTTTAGATCATGAAGATTATCCGACGCTTTGTTCAGTAATATGGGGGGGGGGTTCTCTACATTTAATATAGTCAAAAAGTCGGTAAAACCCCTAAAACTAATTTGTTGACAATGGTGTATATTTCAAAGCTCAGAGAGAATGTTCGGCACACTTCTAGTTACACTTCTGTTACCATAGTAACTCAGAGAGAATGTTTAGAGAGAATGTTCTAGTTACACTTCTGTTACCATAGTAACTCAGAGAGAATGTTCTAGTTACACTTCTGTTACCATAGTAACTCAGAGAGAATGTTTTAGTTACACTTCTGTTACCATAGTAACTCAGAGAGAATGTTCAGAGAGAATGTTCTAGTTACACTTCTGTTAAATGAAGCTAGTAATAGACAGAGACAGGCTGATCCTTAACCTCATTTCCTTGGTAACCTTGGTAACCTCATTTAATTTCCACTTCCTCGAAAGTCTGAACAGGAAATATAAACTATTTGGTATGGCTGGTATAGTAGTTGGAATCAGTTTTGTAGAAAGAATAATGAACACTTTTGTGTAATGTAAAGATTGCCTGCATTGTACAGTGTTAGCGTGGTATTCGTTTCATGCAGATTGCAGCTGCAGCAGCAGCAACTGCAGCAGCAGCAGCAGCAGTAGCAGCAACTGCAGCAGCAGCAGCAACTACAGCAGCAGCAGCAACTACAGCAGCAGCAGCAGTAAACACCTGCTGATGGTTAATATATTCAACTAAGGATCAACCAATGCCATCACTACTGACATTCTAAAATAAAAATGAATACCACGCAGTAAATGTGGGTGATCAGTAAAAGTTTCTCGGTGAGCCACTCAACTGGACGATACCCCTAATTAAATATTGTGCGAGAGAGCGTGTATCTATCATAATATTACAACTAAATAAGCGCTCGGCTGAAGGGAAAGGAAGCAGTTCTAACGAGCGCTTCTCAAACACAAGGATATATCTTG